TGAGACAGGAATTCTGGTATTTGTGGTTTTGGGGAGTTTCTATTAGCAGGAAGGGCTGGGAAGGACAGGCGAAGGCAGGGAAGGGGCTGAGCAGACATATTATCTCAGCTAGAATGTACTCTCATGGAGATATGAATTACATCACAAATTTGGTCCCATCTTGGGGCAAAGCTTCTGGCATTGTGTACCTTTCTGTCAGTGCAGCACTGTTGGTGAGCTGCCCCTCAGAGGAAGTGAGCAAAACCTCCTGTAAGACAACTCTTATTTGGCTCAGGGGAAGTCTTCAATGAAAATGGTGTGCACTGAGCTGTTAGCTCGTTAGCACTTCATTTTTTTTTCTCTCCTCATGGGTATCTTTCTGTTAAACTGATATAATCATGCTTACATCTCCTATCACAAAACCTTTCCATTTTCTTCTATATTCTCACCCTTTTCCTCTATTGTTGAGATTCTTGCCTTTGTCTGTTACATTCTGTTCCTGGAGACCCACTTGTTCCCCCACACTACTGCTGTCTGGTTTCTGCCTCTACTGCTTTTCAGAAATTGCTTTTGTCAAAACTACAAATCATGTTTCTGCTTCTTATGGAGACTTTTCTTCTCTCTCTGCAGTCGCCAGGAACATTTGGATTGATCTCCCTTGGCTTTGGAGATGCTGACTCTCCTGGATTTCTTCCTACCTTTTCATTACTGCTTTTCTGACTTCTCTGCCAGTTTCTTTGCCTCTGACTCTTCCTTAAAGTTACTGTTCCTCTGAATTTGATCCTATGCCTTCTCTTCTCACTCTCTATACTTTTTTTCCTGGGCCAAATGGAGACTTTTGAGACACTCAGAAAAGATCAGTCTTTCACTGTCCCATAACAAGTAATTCAAAAGTAAATATTTATATTTTTAAACAAAGCAAATTAACATTGTCTCTCTCCAGATTCTCAGATTGCATAATTCTGGATATATTTTATGAAAGATCCTCTCTCCTTGCCTTTCTCTTTTTCTCTTTCCCTAACCACATGTTGTGTTGAGTAGACCTAATATCAAGTCAGTAAAGAGCTACCTATTCATTCCGTATTTTCCACTACCATCTCTGTGTTAGTTCTTTCTGAATTTATATACTTCGCAGATCATGGGAACCATAAACATACCTGTCTAGTAAGGATCTCTGATTTATTACCACAGATGACTTTTAACTGCTCTTCTTTCCCTCTCCAGTGTATTGGGCTACCCTCTTACCCGCTTTTAATACTCAGGGGTCATTTTAGACTTTTTCTCTCCCCACCAATCCAATTAAGTACCAACTTTATTTGATTCTATAACTAAATATCTGTCAAATCCAGTCATAGATTCAGTTTATACCCATTATAATAGTTCTCCACACTTTCTTAAAATGATTCTTCATCAAAGGTAAACCTAATCATTTCCTTCCTTGCTTTGAAGAACTCTGAACTTCTTAGCATAGTTTGTAAGACTTTGTGGTTCCAAATCTTCTTGCCTTCTTCAGCATCAGTCTTTCTACTTCCCAATTGCTGTGAACTTCCTCTCATACCCAGGCCACTTTATTTCAATGACCATTTCTTCCTCCAATGTCACCCTACCCTCCAAATTAGCACATTGCCATGTCTTGGTATGTTTGTTAGTTCTGCAAGATTTCACTGACATCACAAATCTAGGTCAGTCTATAGCTTATCACACACCTTTTACATTCTCTGCCATGGTACCTGCTGACTGTGACTGTTCATTTCCTTGTCAGCCTCCCTCCCCCCAATTGGGGCTACAAATTCCAGGCAGGAGGGTAGAAGTGCTACCTGGATTGATCAGATTGGGACCTGAGATTTAGCAATTGCTCACCAGCTATTTCTGAATTAACTACTGTGTCATTCTGCCTTCTACAGTCAAAGTGTAATAGCTTTTCAGTCACCTATGTTTTTAAAGGATTTATTCACCTTCCCCATGTTAATGGAATAGAAAGTTAGGAATTAACTCTTTAATTATTGTCAAAAAGAGCCAACTTCTTTGAGGGAGGTGTGTGTGTGTGTGTGTGTGTGTGTGTGTGTGTATGTGTGACACTATAGAAAGAACACTGTGCTTGAAAACAGGATTTGAAGAAAACTTTTTAAACGTTCTGAAGCAATAAAAAAGAAGTTTTAGGAAAAGAAAAATGAAGCACACCAAAGTTTGGATGGCATATCTATCTCTTATTAAATAGTTTCTCAAACAAGATTTTGAGCTCTTGAATTTAAGGATCTCTATCCTTCTCCATTACCCCTCCATGACCAATCTGACCCCAGCAGTTCTGATCCATGCTCTGTTCATATTAGTTGACAAGCTCTGACATCCATCTTCAGTAACTCTGATTAAATTAAGAAGTACTATACATGTGTTATGATACATAGTCAGGTCATTCTATGTTAAAAAAAAGACACACTGATAGCTACACTTTAACCCTTTTGGAGGTAGAGAATAATCTTGACAACAGTCTTTGTTTCTAATAAAATATTTTTCTATATTATTCCAACTAACAACTGCCTCCAGCCGTCACTAAATATAAGAAACCTACTTTCTCTATTTACTTGCTGAGATTTCTGTCAGCCTTTCTGTGGAGTGCCGGAATCAGGGTAAACATACCTGGCTTATGAACAGAATGGCCTAAATACTGTCGTGTGGGAGTGTCATTTCTGGCTGGAGAGAGGGTTGCACAAAAGAAAAAGAGATGAGTTGAACCAGCTGGTGAGGCTGGTGGTGAAGAGGGAGACCAACTACAGGGATCTCAAGGATAATGAGAATAAGTGCTGGGCTGAGGGAGGACAGAGGTGGCAGCCAACACAGGTGTGTGGCAGGAAACCCAGAAATGCACAGACAGCTCAACTAAACCATGCAAGGAACAATGGGTTTGGGGAAATAAGGACAGAGAAAAAATAGCATCACTCCTACTTTCAGTGGGGCCTCTGGAATAGGGGCAGAGAAAAAAGGGGGCCATTCTTCTTTCTTGATATTCTTACTGTGTGTAGGTCAGTCTTGAACTCTCTCTGCCCTTAATTCTTCCCTCTGTTCTCTCACCTTCTCTTCCTTTCTGTCCTTTTCTTCTCCCCATCCTCTTCTTTTTTCTCTTACCCCCCACCAATTCCCACTGTGCTTCTTTCCTCTGGCTTTTTGAATCATCCACATGTTGAAGTATTACTTGATGTCATCACAGCTTGAAACCATCAATTTGTCAATACAGAAATTGCAGTTATTTTTAATAAAGGAGAAAGGGAAAGGGAATGTGACTAATGTCCAGGGATCTAGGCAACAGTCCAAAAAACATTGTGTCTCTAGGAAGCAGCAGAAGGAATACCTCTCTGATCACATGTCACATAATTCCATGGGATCTATATATTTTGGGGACTGAGAGCTATTTTTCCAAGGTATCACAAGTGAATAAGGACTAACATTTTAAAATCATTTTTCTCCAAAGCAACTTTTATTTAAAACAATTTTTTTGTTTGTTTCTTTATGTTTATTCCATTTTTGGCTCTGTTCCAAACAAACAACCTTCTTTATGGTCTCAAATTCATTGACACTCTTTGTTGTATCATACATGTGCATTAAATGAGATGTCATCACCCATGGGGTTGTGGGGCACTGCCAGCAAGAGAAGTGTCATGGGGTCCTAGCATGAACTTCTGCTTGGGAGATTTCAGTGTCCATCAGATTACTAACAATCAAACTTGGTCTATAAAGGAATTTCCAACTTGTGTCAAAGAAACTGTCTTCCTAGCTATGATAGGCATAGTCTTCTCTTTGAAGTGCAGACCATGGTCACTATGGGAAGCACCCTGGATGTCCAAGGGTCCATTGAGCTCTGGTTTAGTTCTTCTTAAAATAGTTGTTCAGTGAGAACAGGAAGGTGCTGTTTGCTCATGGTAAAGTATTAATTTTCATTGATGCTCATAAGATGAAGTTCTTTGACTATATATGAGCTTATTAAGAAGTCACATGCTTGTTTCCTTTAATAAAGGGCCTCTACGCATGTGTTCCTAATAAACCATAACCTGTGTATAAGTGTGAATGTAAGTTGCCCAGTGCTTTGAAGTCCACTAATAAAGATACTTGGTAAATTTAATAAGGGAATTGAAATAGGGTTGGGGTTTATATGGATTAAGGAACCAGAAAGAAAAATGTATATACAATTAATATTTTCATAGTAGCTTTATGATATTTTCTACTACCTATAACTCATCTATTTGTTTCTCCTTTATGCTACCTAGTTACTGTTTCTCTTTAAAAAATAATAATTGAAGCAAACAGATGCTGAAGCGAATTCATTTGTCTTCTCATTATAATAGTAATGCTGGGCCCTCCCTGGTGGTGCAACAGGTGAAGCTCTGCACTGTGAAGCTAAGTCAAGGTGTGGCCGCTTCAGTGAGAGTTTGATCCCACACCCAGAGGCGACCCATATGTTGCGGCAGACCTCTCCTCTCTCATCCACTGCTCCCCTCAGCAGTGTACTTCATCGATCTGCCTATTCTGTTCCCCACTCTGTCTCTGGTGAATCCTCTCACCACCCCTGCTCCTCTGACCTATACCCATTTCTGCATGCATAAATAAATAAAATCTAAAAAAAAAAAAATGCCATGGTGGAAAGAACCAAGGGTTGAGAGTTGGAAGACAATCTTCGAGATGACCAGAGGGTAATTCTCAGGGTAAAGAATTAGGAGTTTCATTTATTCTATCTTGCAAAAATGATCTGGGTGTAGAGTTGGAAATTGAATATACTATGAAATATTGAGCATTCATATAGATAATATAGTGCTTAAAAAATGTATGATGCTATGTATCATACTTCATAAATATCCCAAATTTGTATTAGTGCCTTTTTCCTGGCCTTATGACAGTTTGTTCTCAGCCTCTCAGACTTCCTCAATGCTAAGAAGTCTGAGCGTTGACTAGGAGTTTGAGTTTGCTTAGGTGTGGGGTTCTCTAAGTACCAGACTTGGGTATGACATTTTCACCTTTTCTGTACTCTCTAGGGCGTACATGAGTGTGAAGGAGCTGAAGGAGGAGCTGCAGCTCAACAGTACTCACTTCCTCAATGTCTACTTTGCCAGTTCAGTGCGAGAAGACCTTGCAGGTGCTGCCACCTGGCCGTGGGACAAGGAAGCCACCAGTCACCTGGGTAAGGGAAGAGCAACTATTGTGGGAAAGAAATGAGTCTGTATAGAATTTGTGTGAGTTCAAGGTAGGAAAGGTAAAAATGACATCGTCACAATGAATTAGATGCTTTTCTTGTTAAGAATGGTGTTTGGGAAAAATCTGTCGAACCGTTTCAGTGCAGACATGTAAAAGGTATTAGGCAAACAGAGGTAGCTAGATACCCAGAACGTTTACCCCCAAATCTGTAACCTAGGTATATACAAATTGCTGGCATGGATTAAGTTGCATTTCGAATTTTGGAAGCAAATACCCAGATTAGAAAGATACCGAACTTTGAAACCTCTATTGCAATAATTGTGGTGCTGGAAGACTGGTATGCATCTTGAATGTAATGTGCTCCGAAAGAAATCCTGAGAAATTTAGGCAGACTGAGGCTTTGCCTCTTTACCTAGAAAAAGATTGATACCTTAATGATGAATAGATCTATTTGAGAAAGATAATTCCATATTTAAGAAAGATATTTCCTCTTAAAATACCTTGTAATTATTAAAGGAAATCTTGCTGACCAGTCATTAACACTAATTACAAGTTTATGTAGCTAAAGCAATTATTCAATATAATTTGTACATAATTTCAGAGTCTTGAGTAGAAGACTACCAGAATATATTGATATTTTAACATTTATTTGACATAGTTGGGAGGAATCTTTATGTTGGAACAAGAATGAGTATAGAAACCAGGAGTCATTTTATGAATGTTTTAAAAGAGGCTATTTGAAATTATCTTCTTAGTAATAAAATTTGAAACTGAAAAATATAAGTTGAAATGAAGATGACATATGCTATATGTGTCATAACTGTATATGATAGGGTAATCATGTCAGTATTCAGAAATTAATTAAAGCGATAATAAAAGAGACTATGACAAATTGCATGTCCAAAGGAAAGTTAGTATTATGGACTAAGGAATGAGGAAGGTTAACAATTGATGAGAAAAATCTTGTTATTTAAGATAAACATAGAACATGAAATAGATTAATATCCAGAAGGGATATATATCTCAAAATATAAATAAAATAATAAAATGTTAAACATATAATGATCCAAACTATACATTAAAAAAAGCCAAGAAAAAAGACTTAAAAAGACTTGAGGGGATGAATCCCAGTAAGAAAAGAGATGAATTTTAGAGAGCTTTATATCTGACTGAGTGGGCTTTTTTTGTCTTTCCTGGAAATTATCAACTACTTAGTGAAATGAATGGAGGCACACTGGAGAGTAGCAATCTAGGGTTTTCTTCAGCTGTATCACTAGGGAGAAAAATATTAGAATTAAAGTCTCCCAAGGCACCCAAGCTCCCAGAGAAATTGAAATCACAAAACAGTAGAGCATATTTTGCTCATACTTTTCTCTGAAGATATTTGCTAATTGCTAAATTGTTTTATTAGGACCAGTGACCAAGATAACAAATACAGTGACTGTAAATACATATTTTAAGAGCCAATTAGTGATTTTAAGGACTTTATAGCATAGGGAAGAAAAAGTTGGAGTCGAGTCTATCAAGGAGAAAAATTGAGACACTGTATGTATCAGGACAAACAGAAATAGTGTTGCTTATACAAAGTCTAAAGTCCAGCTTAAACCATTCTTAAATTCTTTGGTAGAAGGCTCTCTCCCTATATTTAGCTGTCTAGTAAAAGAAAATTAAATATGCTCTAGAGGAAAACAACATAAGAAAGAACCTCTATACATATTCTTGCATAATGTCTAGCAATCAATAAAAAATTGCCAGTTATGCCAAAAAACATGGCCAAGCAAGCTAAATAAATAAATTTTCAATTACTAAATACTGACCCACACAATATCCTAATATTGGAGTTACATGACATTGACCTTAGATGATTATGATTAATATGATCAAAAATGGATTAGACAATGGAAAATTTCTTCACAGGATTTGAATCTGTATTAATGAATGGGAATTGTAGAACTACAAACATGTAGTTGTACTTCAATTAATAAATCTGTGGAGGGATTCATCAACAGGAGATAGAATTAAAGAACAAAAAAATTATAGAAAGCGTGCATGTTGAATCTAAAGAGAAACGGTGATGGGAAAAAGAACTTAAGAGACCTAAATAAAAATGTTTAGTATAAACTGGAATTCCAGAAGTAAAGAAAAAATATTGAGAGTAAATAATCAAAGCAAGACAGGCAAGAATTGTGAAAGTGACAAAAGAACAGTAAACCACAAATTCTGGATCTTTTACAAACCTCAAAAGGGTAAATAGACAGAAAATCACATCTAGCGCCACTAGAGCAAAAGTACTGAAAACCAGGAATGAATAAAAAATTCTCAAAAGAAACTAAAGTAAAAAAGTACATTACATTACCTTAATTGGAGCAGCAATAAGACTAACTTGTGATTAATTAATAGAAACTGTGGAGGTCATGAGAAAACAGTGATATCTTTTTAGAAATATTGCCAACACAGTATACTGTATTTAGCAAAAATAACTTCTAAAACAAAGAAAAACTAAAATGATTTTCAAACAAATAAAAACTTAAGGTAATCTTCTACAGAGGTAAAATAAAAACCAATGAAAGCTATGTAGGCTGAAAGAAAATGATCCCAAAAGGAACTATAAAAAAAAAAATTTAAAAGACATCAAAGATGGTAAAAATATTAAAAGTAATGCAAAGTGTATTTTTATTTAAAATGTATGTAGAATTAAAATAACAATTGCACAAAAGACATGAAAAAATAAATAAAATTACAACATTTAAAACCCTTTGCTTACCTAGAAAAAAATATCTAGAAAAAAATACTGACTTAAGCCATTTTAGACAGCCAATAAAAAAAAAATTTGTAATATTTAGGACAGCCATTAAAAGACTAATTCAGTTATCCCTGACAAGGTAAATTAAGAAATGAAATAAACCAGAGATGTCAACAAAAGAGAAGAAAATGGGGCCTCCCTGGTGGCACAGGGGTTAAAGACACAGTGCTATCAAGCTGATGCTAGCCACTTCAGTAGCTGGATTCCTGACTGCCCAGGGACCTAACCTTGGGGCAGCAGACCTCGCCTGCCTCGCCCGCTACTTTCCTCAGCAGTGTATTTCAGTAAATCTGCCTGTTCTGTACCCCATTCTATCTCTGGTGAATTCCCCTCACCCCTCACAATTCTGTTCTACACACCACTTCTTGTGTGCATAAATAAATAAATAAATATGTAAATAAGAATAAATAACAAATGGAACAAACTGAGGCAAAAAATAAAATTTATTCAGTCTAACACATTAGTAATTACATTAAGTGTAAATTATATTAACTGAAGCAAAAAAAATAACCAGACTTGAAAAATAAAATTCAGCTATATATTTGCAAGAGAAAACATATTAAAAAGAACACAATAAAACTCTCAAAGCAGAAGAATGGATATAGTGCAAATGCTAACCCAAAGAAAACCAGTGTAGCTATCTAATATCAGATAAAATAAACCTTGAGACAGTACATATTATAAAAGACAAATAGGAATATTTTTAGCAATAGGTTTAATTCAATTGGAAAATGTAACCTTGATAAATATGTATATACTCAATAACATGCCCTAATATGTATATTACACATTTTGATAAAAATGAAAATAAAATAGACAAATTATTTTGCAATTTTAAATATTTTTCTCAGAAAATAATAGAATGAGCAAATAATATTTAGTGGTTCTATAGGTGATTTGAAAAGCATGATTAATAAACAAAATTAGAACCATGTATTTAAATAGACATCTTTCTCATCTGCTATGGAAAATTTACTAAGAGTTCTGGGCCAAAAAGTAAATTTTACAAGAATGAGATCACAGGCTTTAATCTCTCCTTTCACTGGAAAAAAGCTAGAAACTAATAACAACAAAAATAATAAAAAATTAGAAATCCCCAAATGTTTGGAAAGTAAATAATATATTTTAAATTATCCTATGACTGAGGGAACAAATCACAATTGAACTAGGAAAATATTTTTAAAAGGATGATTATGACAAATGACATAAAAAATTTGTGGTATACACAAGAATCTTTCTACAGGGAGAAATCTAGAGCTTTGAATATTAGAAAAGAAAGAAGTCTGAGCTAAGTATCTACCTTAAGAAGTCAGCTAAGAATATCATGTTAAACCCAAAGAATGAATGAATTAGAACACAAATAAGTAACAAATATAAAGAGAAATAAATAATATAGAAAGCAAACATTCATTAGAAAAAGTTGACAAAGTCAAAAGTGTGTTTTAGGGATAACTAACTCCCTAAAAGAATGATCCACAGTAAAGAAACATGAGCGAGAATGGCTACATTACCATTCTGGGGAATGAAAGAAGCAATATTCATTGTATACTACCGATGTCAATAAGCAGTAAGCATTTTCTTTTTTTCTAAACTTTATTCACTTATTTTTGACTTTGTGTCTCACCAAGCACAAAATGTGTACTCATGAGTATGTGCAACAATAAGCATTTTTCAACTAATTGCATTGAAGTTATTGGGTATAAAATAAAATGATCTCAACATGAATCTCACATCTTATAAAATTTTAATTAAAAATACAGAATAGATTTAAGTGTGAAAAATAAGACTATAGAATGCTTAAAAGAAAGCATATGTAAAAACATATAGCTCAGTCAGGGTTAATAGAGTAAGCCATAAAAATAACACCTGACAAATCAGGCAATCAAAAATTAAAACTTTTTCTCTGAGACAGACTGTGAAAATGAACAAAGAAATGACAAACTGAGAGGAAATATTTGTTCATCACACATGTGCTAAGGATTTGCAACTGATATATATAAACAGTTCTCAAAATACAGCAGTAAAACAAGCACTATATTGAGAAAATGGACAAAGGCATGAACAGGCATTTTACCAAAGAGGATATACAGATAGAAAATAAACACATTGAAAAGGTGTTCACTATCATTAACCATTAGAGAAATACAAATTAAAACCACAGTAAGATACCACTGCACACTTAT